GGTAAATCAATTTTTATTGAAGGAGGCAAAGGTTGGTCCATGCTATGCGCATACTCTACATGTTTTCTTTCTTTTTTTTTAAGACGTCCTCACTTTTTGCAGGCATACGAGTGAGTTGCCCTGGATCAGCCTCCTCACAGCACTCAAACTCCTGCTCAAGCATCTGTGCTCAGCTCCCGAGTGCTGGGATACAGGAATGTGCACATGCCGGCTCTTTTTTTCTCTGTTATTAGTTGGCCAATTAATTTTGTATTTATGTAGAGACAGGGTTGTCTTGCTCAGGCTGTTTTGATTGAATCCTGACTTGAGCATCGCCCCTCAGTCTCCAGGTGCTAGGATTACAGGCGTGAGCCACGCCCACAACAATGGTGCTTCTCTAGAGAAGATATTTACTTTCCCTGGGGCAACTGGGATGGCAAGCTTTCGCAATTTTCGAAAGACTACTGATTTTCCTACATTATGAGTTATTCAGCAGTAGCCAAGGAAATTGTTTATAATTTTATCGTTTACTTTTAGATGACAAATGTATTATCTTAACTCAAGGAAGGTCTTCAAACTTTTAACAGGGGCAGTTCACTGTCCTAGACGTGGAGAGTGCGCGCACTTGACACATGCGCACTGCGGGCGGACAGTGTGCTGTAAGCAGGACAGCTTGCGGCGGCAAACACCCGGCGGCAGTAAATGGTCTTGGCGGGCCGATGTGGCCAGGGGCCATGTTTTGAGGCACCTGATCTAAATTAATGATAATGGTTTCTCCTGCTTACCTTCAACCACCTCTTATGCACTTCTTTCCATTTTCATTCATTGTTTGTTCCATTTGGACTTCAATTCCTGAAGAACACCCTGCCAATTCACTCCCTCACACGCCTGTAAAAAAAAGGTGGGGGAATTCTTTAGATATTATCTGACCCTATTTTTAAAATCTTTTTCTCTCTTATTCAGATTCATCTTGATGCCAAACTATGATACAACTGAAACAGTTCTATGAAATGACTCTGGAATATTAGTTTCTTAGAAGGCTGATGTTTGCCTTCAAATGCAACACATCTGCCTTTTAACTTCAGCAATGTTGATACAAAACAGAGATGCTGTGTCCTAGTTATAGAGAACATGAAATTTTTGCTCTTTGTAGGGTTTGTGAATCACAAGGGATTCTAGGTTTGTACTTCTTAACTTTTGGTTTGAAGATTTTCAATTTTTTCTGCTACTTCTTCTAATGTATACCTTTTTCTTCCAGAATCAAATAAAAACAAAAAATTAGAATAGACCAATACAGTCTTAAATTATATTTCATACAGGTCATACCATTATAAGCACATAAAAATAAGGAGCTACTTCATTTAACGGCTAGAATGGTGTCGAAAAAGTACAAAATATTAATTTAAATCATTATAATAAATATATATAAAAATTATAAATTTATAGAAAATATATTATAATTACATATAATATATAAAACATAGTTTAATCTCTGGGACTTGGAAACATTATAGGTCCGGAAATCTGGGAAACGTGGTGGGTAATGTCTGTATGTAAACGTAAGAAAGGTAGTGCTCATGGCCAAAAGATCCCCTTTTTCCACACATCTGCAATCAGCGCTAATTAGATATCTTCATGATCTTTTTGATGAAAACTATAAATCTGCTATGTCTAGTAAGCACAGTTCTAATTCGGTCATATTCTGCTAGACATATAATCAATATGGAAGAGGGAAACCATAGATGTTTTGGGAACAACGTATGGAGAGGAAAAGAACACTGGAAGAGTCACAGGCATGTTCTGGTTTGTCAGTTATGCCATCAACTGGTTCTCAATAAGCACGTGATATTCTTTCTTATTTTGTTCCTTTATTAGAGAATGTGTAAACATTGCTTCTCTCTATGAGTATGTAATCCTATGTAATCTTAATAATTAATGTTTATTGAATTTTCAAAGTACACAGATATTGTATAAATACTTTATTATGGATTATACATAATATCTTATTTTATAGATGAGAAACCAGTCAGAGAGTTTAACGTTGACAGTCATATTGTTAGATGACAGAACAGAGCGTTTTAATCGGGCGTTGCCTGGCTAAAAAACTTCATGCCAAATTAATTGATCAAGAGGAAACACACAACTATTCATTTGAACAAACAAATCTCAGCAAGTCTTGAGCATTGAACTTTTTTTTTTTTTTTTTGAGACAGAGTATCCTTTGTGCCAGGTACGTGGAGTGCGGGCCGCTCCAGCCTAGCTCAGCGCAACCCCGAATCTGGGCTCAAGTGTTTCCTTGCTAGCTCCGAGTAGCTGGGCATAGGCATGCACCACCATGCCCAGTATTTTGTTATATATATATGGCCAATTATTTTTCTTTTAGTAGAGAATGGGGTCTCATTGCTCTTGCTAAGGCTAGTTTCAAACTCCTGACATTGAGCAATTTTCTCGCTGGCCTCCAGAGTGCCTAGGATTATAGGCATGAGCCACCGTTGGCCCGGCCTTGAAATTTTGAATAAAATGATACAAGTAGGCATCAGAAAACCAGCATTATTCTATAAAAACACAAATAATTATACAATAGTTATAAGAAATTTAAAACTTCACTAAATCACATTCAAATCCATGATTCAACGGAAATTATGCTTGGCTCGTAAGGGAGGAAAATAGCCTTTGCTGTTTATAGCAAAAATGACCTAAAATCAATATTATTTACCATACTATTAATACATGTTTTCGATTCAGTTTTGTTATTTATTTGTTTATTATACTTTTAAATGAGTCTATTACTATATTTTGTTAAGGTTTAATACATTTGATTTATGAAATAGGTCAGATGTCAACCTGGCTTTATATAAAATTTTTTGGCAATACAATATTATTTTAATGAAAACGTAAAATCTAATTCAATAATTCTAATAAATGGTTTTTAGCTTGCTGGCAAGCCTAAAAATGAAGACACTGTTATATTCTAATGGCAAATAATTTTTGCTCTTTATTTAATCTAACGAAAATGTTAAGTTTGATTTATAGTGTCCTACTACTTAATGATTGACAAATTAATGATTGATGGTTTTTAAATAAGGATTGTTTACGTAAGTTTATTTTCACTTATAGGAAGAGTAGACAAGAGTTAGTTAAAAAGCTTGTGCATCTATTCCCCTTCAATAAACATATGGAGTGCACAAGCTCTGTCCACACTGAAGGGCTAGAAGCAAAGATACACCAGAGGCAAGAGCACACATAAGCCTAAATCTTGGTTTCTAATTACCATTCACCACTAAAAAAATACCCATGATTCTAGCGTTGAGAAAAAGGAAATTGAAGATGAGGCTGGTACAGCTTCTTGTGCCCGAAAACAAGAAAGGGCTCTATAAATAAATGAAAGCATAAATACAGGGGGGGAAGAAGAAAAAGCTCTCTCTTATAGTAGAATACAACTAATAACAACTGTAGTTACAAAAAAGGAAATCCTTGTTTTTGGGAAATACACACCGAAGGACTTACGGAGAAAAGGGTGAGATGACTGATTAATGCTTAATGGATGAGGGTAAAGGTAGATAGATGGAAGAGAAAGAGTAAATAATAAAGCAAATCGGAGTAGAATATAAGAATTAACTACTGTTTTCACAACTCTTCTGAGGTATGTCAAAATTTATGAAAATAAACAATTCAGAATGGCAACCAGTATAAGTATACAGTAAATATTTTCTATTTTATTTTACCACTTGAGTCGCCATGTTCTCCCAGAATCCATCCATGGCAGCTGCTGGATGAATGGCAAGTTTTTCAGACCATGAATAGCGAAATCTAGCGGAGTCCAGATTACACCACTCCAATCACACGGTGCTTGGTAATCCGCTCAGTTTCCAGGTAACATATGTAAGAATGTCCACTAAAATTTAGAAATAGTTATACGTAAGTAAATCCAAACTGACTTCAACTGCTAGTCAATTAGGGGTGGGATTGTCGCTTAAGTTTCACCATTCTAACATTCCATGATTGTAAGACTCTCATCACAAACCAAAAACCCCTTGATGACTAATTACCAAGGCGTGCTACTATAAATTTTCTGGACATGAGATTATTCAGTAAACAATTGTGATAATACACGGTATTAAAATGTGCTACTATTTAATAAAAGAAACATCCATGACAGAACCTTTGTTCCAGTGTGGCATAGCTTTGAAACTGCATAGAGGTAAAACTTTTGTTGGTCCAGACAGGCTCACAGCACTCACGGGCATAAACTACAAAAGGTATACATATGCGCACACAAGGAAGGTAAGGACCTGAGCTTAATCCTTCGTCTCCACCTCCACACTCATCTATACATACTAGCTAAGATATTTTAAGACATTGGACTAAATAACTCTTCTTATCATCTTTGATTGGTAGAAGGGACTCCCTGGAGAACGAGACTGTGAAGCCATACCCAGAAAGTAATATAATCAGCTACTCATGTCTGCCTGAGGGACAGGATGCAGTAAGTTAGTTAATATATCTAGCTACTTGTCATCCCTGTTCTACATCAACTGGTACATTATATTTATGAGAGTCTATATATATAACTATACGTTTAATGAATCCCAATCTAGGTTTGCAGAGAGTAAGAATAAATGAAATAACCTGTATCCTTGCTGGCTCCTAACTCTCAATATTCAATAAACTAAGATTTCCCTGGCTCTTATTCACAATCTTTCTGTATGTAAAGTATCACAGATAATCAGTCTTACCATTCCATCAATATATCTACTATGCTCACCAACATGCGGTAAGCTTGGTGACAAATTATAAACAAAAGAATTGTGCAATAGAGTGAATCTTTTTTTAGTGTGACAGTGTCTCACTTTGTTGCTCAGGCTAGAGTGAGTGCCGTGGCGTCAGCCTAGCTCACAGCAACCTCAAACTCCTGGGCTCAAGCAATCCTCCTGCCTCAGCCTCCCGAGTGGCTGGGACTACAGGCATGCACCACCATGCCCGGCTAATTTTTTCTACATATATTAGTTGGCCAATTAATTTTTTTCTATTTATGGTAGAGACGGGGTCTCACTCTTCTTGCTCAGGCTGGTTTCGAACTCCTGACTTCGAGCAATCTGCCCGCCTCAGCCTCCCAAGAGTGCTAGCATTACAGGTGTGAGCCACCGAGCCCGGCCAATAGAGTGAATCTTAACTGTTAAGGCTAAAAATGCAGCACTCTCTCTAGTCAGTTGACATTTATTCTGCAGATGTTAATTTAATAAGGAAAGCTGTTTTTAAGTCCCAACATATGGTGTCAACATGTATTTGTCCGCCAGTATAGTCCATTTCCATCTTTAAAACAGAACTGGTTAATGGCTTTCTTCAACTCTTCCTTCTGATTCGATTCAGAAGAATAGGATTTTCCAGAAACAGATCAGATATATTAAAATGTTTCTTACAAATGAAAGCCACATTCAAATGTGGCATTCTGCACCCAAGGATAATCTTTACAAAAAACGTTAAGTCTTTAGCATCTACAACAAACCCAGATGAAGCAAAAAACATGAAACTGCCAAAACTCCTCTCACATTTTTGAACATTTGGGACATTTGTTTTGCAAACACCACTCCTTTGTGACCAGTAACAGAAGATATGTGAATTGCTTCTGTAAGTGAATACTGAGACAGATTTTAAGTCCAAAACAACAAAACTCCCAAAGCAGTGAACTTAATGGAATTGAGACTTAAAGTATTATAACAATACCTGGGTTGGAAACCACAATTATGATGCAATCAGGACTGTACTTGACGATCTGGGGAATAATGAACTTGAAGACATTAACGTTTCTCTGCACCAGATTGAGACGACTCTCCCCCTCTTGCTGACGGACGCCTGCAGTTACCACCACAATCTTAGAATTGGCAGTCACAGAGTAATCTTCGAAGAGAGGCAAAAACACAGGTATATTAGTGCGACTCTTCATCGAAACATAAACTTCTAGAACTTATACAAGAATTATGCTTTCTGGACTGTCAGGGTTTGGAATTCAATGTTCCTGTGGGTTCATTTTTCTTCCTTGGGCTACACTGAAGCAATCCAAACATAAAATTGGTTCAGAAAATGAACCAAAGGAAATAAAGACGTTGCTAAATTACGTTTCTGGCTAACAAATTCAATGGATTGTCACTAATAAAATGAAGCACAAACAGTGAGGATAGCAGGCAGACTTCCAACTATAACAAAAAAAGTTCATTTCATGTAGCTTTTAGGCTTATAAAATGTTAATTAATTATCTATAAGTGGAAAGAAGGCATGGGAGTGTTTGTTTTGGCTGGAACTTGAACTTAGATTGCTAATACTCAGTATTTTAAGAAAGCTTATTTGCTTTTTAGCAGTGTGAGTTTCTCTAAAGAACATTGTTTTTTTACTCAAGGAAGTGTGTCCTTTTACAATACACAGACATTATGACTTGATTAGACTCAATAGCTATGCACAAATCATATAATTAAACTGTGTTGCAATGTGACTTTTGACAGTTAATACTTTGTCAGTTCCTCTCCCATAACATGGGGGTAATTATAGTACCTACCTATACTTCATAGGATTGTTACGAAGATGCACTAATACATGAGAAATACACTCAAAATGCTTTGCATAGTACCAAGAATGTCACTAATTTAATAAATAATATCTATTATGTAGTTGCTTCAAGGCACTCAAATTACCTTGCACAATTATTATTTGGGGTCTAAAATATTCCTATTCACAGATAAATATAAACAAAGCCCTTGTATATAATGTCTTAAAATGTTAAGTTCTCAAATGTAGAGAAGGTATGTGGGAGAGAGTTAATGGAAATAATACTTGAGTTTGTCCTTAAGGATGAATTGGACCCAGAAGGAAAAAAACAAATTGCCAACACTATATTCACCAGGACGGGATGACTAATTTTATTACAGAGAGTGAGGGAGGAGAGATGTGTGCAAAGGCAGGTTGTGTCCAAATTGGGAAGATCTGTGTAGGCCCTGCTAGAGGTTTTAGAATATAGACAAAGGTGTATAAAAAGAAAAGAAATCTTTAAGGAAAGGAATATATTCAAACTTTCATTTTAGAAAAAGCATCTGTTTTAGGGATAAAGATAACTAGCGTGGCGGTCTGAAGCATGGAATACCCGAGCATTTCCTACATACACTTTCAATGCAAAAACGTCAACTTCCTATGGGCACATTTCAAAAGAATGCCTAGAAAGCAGGTTTCTAGAAATTGATAAAAGAAAATTGGCCTATAGGACAAAGATGGCACAACAAACCAAACAATGCTATAAATCACAATTTGTTACTTTCTCTTAGTGACTTATCAATTACCATTTACGGCAAACTCATTTTTTAGTGATTGCTCATTAACGAGTGAATGTAAAATTATTATATTAGAAATGAAACATAGAATATAGCAGAAAATAAGAATTATATAAAATGAGAAAAGGGAAAAATTTTACAATGAGATGAAAAGTTTTTAGACATTTAAAATCACTAAACTAGATCTTGAACATTTTGTTAACAGTTTTTTTTTTTGAGACAGAGTCTCACTTTTGTTGCCCAGGCTAGAGTGAGTGCCGTGGCATCAGCCTAGCTCACAGCAACCTCAAACTCCTCCTGGGCTCAAGCGATCCTCCTGCCTCAGCCTCCCAAGTAGCTGGGACTACAGGCATGCACCACCATGCCCGGCTAATTGCTACTTTTTTGTGTATATATTTCGTTGGTCAATTAAATTTCTCTCTTTTTTAGTAGAGACGGGGTCTCGCTCAGGCTGGTTTCGAACTCCGACTCCGAGCAATCGCCGCCTTCCAGCTCCAGAGTGCTCGGCTTACAGGCGTGAGCCACCGCGCCCGGCATCGGTTACAGTTATTGAATAATGTTTTAAGAAGAGTTCCAACTTTTCTAGTTAAAAAATCAGTCTATTATGCTGTAAGGGATGCATTTCAATGTATTTTTTTGTCATTAAAAAACTGCTC